TTCCAGTACACATCCACAGTTCGTGCTGTGTTTGGATAACACTACCCTGTTGGTCGTTTAGTTAGCTGTCTTCGTTCTGGTAAGTACCACTTGGAAAGGCTACTGGACTGCTAGTAAAGTGAACAAAGTGGCTCGCTCGTCTATAAGAGTTCGTTCTGAATTTTGATCGCAAATGCTCATCTGACACGGTATCTGCTTGATTATATTACCTACAAAGGGATAATTCTAGCAGCAAATCATTGTAAGAAAATGCAGACATGAAATCTACTGTTGGTACCGTTGTGCGTACTGCGAACCGCCCGCATGATAAAATCCAAGATTTTTTTGCGCTTTTTTTAACGAGCGTCAGAAATAATTTGCTGGGCAGCTAACCGCACAAGAGAAACGTCGATTTGTCCTTCACGAAACATTCTGTAAATTTTTTCAATTACGGGCAATGCAAAACCAAATGCCAGAAGTTGTATAAAGCGATCGACAATACAGCGTTGTCTACCAATAATCACTTCGGTCAATCTCATTTGATTGGCTTGGCGATCATAAAGCCGACTGAGGAGCTCAAACACTCTGAAAAATGCAGCTCTATCGTACACCAAATATATCTTTCGATTTTTGATTTTCAAAGGAAAATGGCTATTGTCTTTGATATCCAGGATCGTCGGAATCAGTAGACGATAAAAATTTTACGTCGCGAATAGCTAGATTCTATCGAAAGTGGCAATTTTAACAAATTTATCTAAAAGATAATAAAGCTCTGGGCAGAATTGGCTAGTTTAAAAGAGAATTGGCTAGAAAATAGGTTTTTTCGAAGGCGGCATTCTCCAATGGGATATAATTTTTTTTTTGTGCCAGAGTCCCACATCTTATTTAAAACCCCGTTCCAAGTGCGACAAGTCAAGGCCAAACCCTGTTTGTATTTCGCTACACTTTGTTCTCCTGGAATTTATCCGGGCTATGACACTGTTCCCAGCAAAAAATCAAATTTTGGCAGGGTTTTCACCCATGAAAAATAAGTTGAAGGCAAAATGGGCCATGCTAAGCGTATCACTGCTCATTTAACAGCAAATAGTGAATGGTTTGCTTTATTCATAAATGCAAACTAACGCGTATCCGGTGAGAAAGTGGAATTACGTACAATGTATCGCTAAAAGTACCACGTTTTATGAGATGTCTTGACAACTTATTTCAGGAAATCCACAGCGCTTTGAAGCTTACTTGGTATGAAGACTTGGATGTTTTGTCACAATCTCGTCCAGCAAAGCCATGTGAGTTGGTTCCAATTCACCAAAGTCATCATGAAGCATCAATCCTTGCAGGTAATGAAGAACTCCATAAGCGACGCATGGGAAGCCAACTCCTAAAAAAGTTTTTTTGAGGTGCTAGTGCAAATATTTTCCAAAATTTTTTTTTAAGTAATATATTATGAAAAATTCCTTTTTATGCTTTTGTTTATACGCATATTACAAAAACGTATATTGCGATGACCTTGTCTGCGTGTGTATATGTGTGTGTATGCTCGTCTGTCCAAGCATTTCAACTCACCGCCCAAGCAAGCTCCGGCGCTGAAATTTTGCCAACGGGTTCGCTGGCCAAGTGCATTCCTGGGCCGCAGCACCAACTTTCACGCAAGTCTATACCTCGCATACGAGGGGGTAAAAGTTTTAACGAGATAATCGCTAACTCG